GATGTTCAAACTATGTAAAATAATCTCCAAACTTAAGTTTATTAGGAATACTAGATTTCAAACCATGAGCTAACACTTTCTTCGTAACATCATTCAAAACATACTTTGGGTAATTAAAAATAACATTGTCAGGATTTTTTTATAAATGAATTTTTAACTAACTGTCTCCTCAAAGCATTTAACCTAAGCAAATGTTTTGCACTTTCCTTAATAATAACCTTATTTTGTGATTCGCTAAAAAATTTTTAAGTGCATAAAGTCTAAAAACCCTATTTGATATCCCAATAATTTAAATGCCTCTATGGATCATCTTGAAAAAGTATTTCAGTATCTAATGTTTTGTTTAATTTCATAATTCAGTTTGAGTTTTTATATTGTCTAGACTCTAGAGTGTTAAAAACGAGAAAGAGAAACTTTGAAATTAAGAGATGGGGGATTTGTTTTGTTCGTAGTTAAGCACAAAGCTACACAATGTGCTATCTGTGCTGAGCCCACCACAGGTATCGAGAAACGAAGGAAATTATTTTAAGCGTTTACATTCATTAAGAAAATTAACATTTAGCTTATTTTACGAAAATTTTACGTGTAGTGTTTCAGCATTTCTAAATCGAAATAATAAGTTTTTATCATATCTGTTTATAATAACTTAACTACAGACTTTTTCTTAGGAAATCTTAAATATATTATAAATTTTATGACTAAAACCTACCAGCCATTTTATAATTTAAGTGTTAAGCCTTTAACATTATTGTTTATTTTTTTGTTTACATATTTAAATGTTAATGCTGAATTTCCAACAGAAGGACAAAGTTGCCAATGGTACGACCCTGGTCTACTAAGAGAAAAAGAATCTAAAAAAAAAACAAATTAGAACAAAAAAAAAGAAGAAAAATTATTCTCAATAAAAATAACTTTACTTTTGAACTAGTATTAGGTGCATTACACCATAAAACACCCAGAATATGACATTATGACATCATATTAATAACACACCATAATGGGGCATAATTATATCAACTTGAAGCTAAACCCTCCTCTTACCTGAAGACAAATACCTCCCGGATTCAAGGTAGGTAAGATTATACAGATAAATAGTTTCACATTTTAGTTCTCCTTGTTCAGAGTCAGGTTGTGTTTCACATCTATAATCAGCTGAAGCTAAATTTAGAAAATGATGAACGATGCCAAACAGCAAGGCTTAAAAGTAGTTTCAAATTTATAATTTCTTCTGTCTCGTGTAAGTAGTGGAATGACCTGAAAAAAATTATGTCAACGACCGATATGTTATGAAACCTTAACCTTTACTATATATGATGTAAACAACTAGTTTCTTACATAAAATCAGAACCAAAATTGAAAAACGTGTTTTAAAGCGTAAACATGTTGTTAGCAAAGTATGCTAGTCGTGCAATCTTTACACAGACTTACGCTGGACTCACCAAAATATTTTATTGGTAAACGAGGGAATACAAATGCAGAGTTTCACTTTATCAAGTTTTTCTAAGGTTAGTTCTAAAATAATTTGGGTGACAAACAAGTTCGCCCACACGACATAATTTATGTTAAATAATGACCTAAACTTTATGACGTAACAATGACGTGATGGGACATTCCTCGTGGATTAGCCTAACCTAGAACTTGTTTCCCTATCTCACAAGGTCAAGCACTAGAAAGAAGAAACAGGGGAGCAAAAAGGACTATTCTCAGACCAGCAAAACTGGAAATAGGGATCAAAATATTCAGAACTTACACGCTTGTTTGGAGTATCGCAATGTTTTACCGCAACCTTTCAAAAATTGGTTGCACACTGGTTCTTTTATTGACGAAATATTAAAAAAGAAAACTGCAGAATATATGAAGTACAGCCATTAAAGAAAATTCATTGTTCATACTACATTTTCCTTAAATCTTTGTCAAGAACCCTTAAGCGTTCTTTATTCTTTCTTTAACATGAAAAAAAAAACCTTAAAGGATATTCTTAAAAGACCGTGATAGCATCAATGGTGTTATGCTTCAAAAAATATTATACTGATGTCTGCTATATTTACTAAGGTTTATTCGTGCTGACGTTCATATATAAATAAAATATTTGATGCCAGCCATTCCTCCATGAATAACTATTTTGCTTATAATATCACACACAGACATATATATTCTCAGAAGTTCACAAATTTAGCTGTGACTAACAAAAGTTTTAGAGAAAAACTGTAAATGATTTGAAAAAATTTGGTAGTATAATTTCAGTAAACACATTTAATTAACAAGGAATTTTTCATTGTACACTGCGTCGAGTGATTTCTCTGCATGAGTCACAATGGGTCTTGAGTAGTTTATGCATGAGGTTTTATTGTACAATTATATATGATCCTTTCAACCATAAAGTCCAAAAACGATCCGTCAGCATGTTTTTAATTGATGTATTTAACAGAGGCTGGCAAGACACGAAATTTCTGAGAGGGAGGTACTAACTCATATAGGTTTGTTTGTTTGTTTGTTTGTTTTTGGAATTTCGCGCAAAGCTACACGAGGGCTATCTGCGCTAACCGTCCCTAATTTAGCAGTGTAAGACTAGAGGGAAGGCAGCTAGTCATCACCACCCACCGCCAACTCTTGGGCTAC